TACGGAATAGAATGGGTCTTAGCACTTTGGTGGCGATGGATATTAGTCTGTTTCCTTTATGCTTGGCACAAAAGGTTCGGGCATTCGTCTTGAAGATCTTATCGCAGACACTGTAACTACTGCTTTCCGCTTGGCTTAACTGGGCTCTTCCGTGCACGCCTATCCGAAAAGTCACGTCAATTCTTTGTGAAACGCCTCACTGCCATCCTCAAACTCTGTGGGTACGAAAGTGTCCAAACCATCGGTACGAAAACTGATGAGAGTAAAATGCATGTTTTGAACTTTAACTTCAACTTGACTTTGAACTAAGCGGCCATAATACAGCCTTCGTCATCTAGTTAAGAAGCAGCTTCAGGGCATACGGCCCAGTGAACCTGACTTTGCTTTTTATCGTGAATTTTGGGTCGCGGGTGACACTTTGAGTGGCATCCTTTATTGCGGGTTTTCTGAAACCGACATGAGTGATCTCCCTTATTTGTCTGACGCTCCTTCTTCTTCCATTTATTGAGCTCCCTGAGGTCATCACGCTTCTTTCTCAGCCCTCGGGTGTTTTACTTCATCTTTGAACGCTCGTCTGACTGCATTTTGCATATTCCAGTTAAGATCCTGTGTTTCGGTAGGTTCACGACCTTTCAGGTATCCAGTGTCCGATGTGCCGCAACCAGGAGCTCCTGTACCACGCAGGACAGTTTCATCCTACTTTTCCCTCTGAAACGCGATGTTACCAGATCATTTATTCGAGAAATTACAGGTGTGTACATCTAAGCATGTCTGGTCAATCGTGGGTTCGATTATGTCTGCTCCCGATTAGCGCCAATCCGACATTTGGCTAGAGCACGATTAGAGCCGAAGCACATTTTCCAAGATGAGCAGCAGTCAGTGATAGCGTTACCCGAAGCTTATGATAACATGATCTATGTTTGGATTTTGTTCTGTTCTCCGAGTTGAACAGTTTCGTGTCAAACGTTTCATCACAAATCGAGGTGACTTCTTCAGTGCGTAGTAAGCAAATTGAGTGGTTTGTCGACTCTTACCGACGAGCGAGTGACATTTGAACTTGGCCACTTCGATTCACGTCCCGTGACCATTGCTAGTTCGCAGTTCGGGCGCCGCCTCTTTTCGACTCATGTGCTAAATGATCCACGTAAATTCTTTTTTCGCAGCTGTTGATATACCGGATCTAAGTCGATGCGCTGGTTTATCGAATTCTCTGTAGTGAACCACGCTTCGAGAAATTCTCTCCCTTTTCTGGTCTCTCCCTGCGCTAACCCCTCTGTTTTCTCCCAATCAAACATGTGCCATCATCAACGTGTGTCGAGACCAATGATGATGGGTAATGGTTTTGACAGGCTTGTCTGTGTTCTTGTAGACAATTTTCTTCCCGTTTAGCCCACGTAGTTCTTATCACAATTTTTACACCATATTCTGTAAAGAACGTTCCGGCATTTATGTGCTGTCATTTTCCGTTTCGGTCTAGACAGGGTTCCTTTCAGAGTTTTGGTGTGTATGTGAGCCAGTAACAGATAATAAGGCTTGAGGAGTCTAGCAGTCAGTTCCGATACGTTCTTGATATATGGCAAAGCTATCCGTTTCGTTGTTGGTTCAAGTGTAGTATTTGAACTTTTGTAGTTTAGGTATCTTCGGATGAAACTACGTGTATATTCGTTGCGCATGAGGCATGTAAACAAATGATTTTCTTCCTCGCGTTTTGCTTCTGCAGTATTACAATGTGATTCTATCCTACGGAACAAGGTGCGTATGCAGCTGATTTTGTGACATTTTGGAGGGTTGCTGTTGAAATTTAGAATTTGATCTGTGTACGTGTCTTTCCTGTGAACCGATGTTCCTACTTCTCTGTCCACTTTTCTAGTAGCCAGTGCATCCAAGAAAGGTAGTTTGTTCACCATTTCTGGCTCCATAGTGAAGTGAATACCGTCCATTGCATCGTTCAGCAGGCTTTGTGCGGTCTGCAACTGGGTGCGTTTGAGTATGACGAACTTCTCGTCAACCTATCTGACCCACAATTTCGGGTTCATGACGGAGTAGATTTTCTTCTAACGTTTACATGACAACCTCTGCAATGAGTCCAGATATAGGTGATCCATTGGAACTCCTTTCACTTAAATAAATAAATAAATAAATTTGTATATTTACCGACAGACGGTACACGGCCCCATAAATGGGAGCGATCATTTGTTCATAGAATGCCCCATGGAAGTTAAGGTAGGTCGTGAGACACAAGTCAAGAAGCTCGCATATACTATCAGTCGTCAGATTCCCAATTGTTCCTTCGTCAACCTTCAGGCGTTCTCTGATGTTTTCTTTCAGCACTTGTAAGTTGACAGAACAGTGTGGTAACGTCGAAGGGCACCATTATTTCATGATTAATCCGCAGTCTTTTGGGTTTCTCCAAAAACTGCCGATCTTTATTTATGAAATATTGCGAGCCACTAGTCAGATCTTCAAGGCGCCTCCATAATTCTTTAGCCAAGTTGTAGGTGAACCTACCGGGGAGTGACACGATTGGCCGAAGTGGTACACCAACTTTGTGTACCTTCGGAAGTCCGTAGAATCGGACGACGTTGAAGTTACGAGCTTTCATGCTGTTGTGCTCCTCCTTTGTGAATTGATTTGAATGCTGAAGTCTTTTTAGGGTCTTATTAATTTTATTTGTCAGTTGTACTGTTGCATCGCTTTCCAAGCATCAGCCTTCCTTGTAACTCGGTGACGCGGACTCAACTTCGCGTAGGGGACCCTCAGAGTATCCGCAGCCCACGCGCGACTTTTAGTGGTTGCGCGGCATTAAAGCGTCGGTACTGCGTACCGGCGTACTGCTGATTCTTTTACTGCTGCTGGAGCTGCGTTTAAAGTGACTACACTGCCTGGTAGCTTGGTACAAGGTGTTATTGCCAACGTCAGGACTGGTGTCTGCTTGAACAAAGGCGACAGTCATGAACAAACAACGTTTGCCTTTTCCAGATGTCGTTGTCAGGCTTGCTGCGCAGTGACGGTTGTTCACCTGAATCCAAACGGTCAGTGAGGCTTCATCCCTTAAGCTGCGAACGGTAATCCCTCCAAATGTGCTCGGGATCTCCGGACTTTTGTTACCAATACCGAGGTGATAATCTATGCGAGAGTCACGAATTCCAACTCAATGATCGCAGCACACATCAGTACCAAAGTACCCAATTTATATGAAAGTGCAGCCTGATAACCTTTCTACCTTCAGATGCGAGCCTTGGACACCTCCAAGGTACCTGGGTGCCGTGGTATCAGGAATGCAGACGGCATAACATCGCTTGTTCTGCAAGTGCCTTTGCTTTGCTCTGGCTACTGCTAATGGAGCGTTATTGCCGTGGTTCGAGAGTGGCGTAGGAACAGTTGGAAAACTAAAATACAGACTGCCACCAGAACTACCTGAGCTGCCAATGTTCGCTCTTATCCCAGTAGTCATTTTCACTGGTCCAACCTTTCGTAGGTAGTAGGTACGGCGAACTTTTTACGCTGCACAACCACCGATGCAACATGCTGAAATCCGATGCGATGGCCATGGTTGTGTGTGGGCCGTGGCAGTACCAGTTCGCTCATAACTAGGCAGGTGAACGACTAGAGTTCTCACTTGCAGCCCTCGGCTAATTAGCCTGACCAAAAGGCAAACCACAGTGCATCAGTCCACAAAAGATGGGATATTTTCACAGGTACAATATCAGTTCTGACTCCCTGCTTCGAGACACGAGCAAATGGCATTTTTCTAACCACCATCGGTTGGCCATTGAAGTGGGAGCAATTGTCACTACACTCAAAGGACTCAGTTGACGTATAGGGGGACGCAAACGGTCGCATCACGCTTGCGTCCAGTCTCGTTACAGATTTAACCACTTTCGTTATTGATGGCGGTGTGTCGTGTGTGACTCAATCCATTGTTTGTTGTTGCTTTTGCATTCGATTTGTTAGCCCGGCATATTTGCTGTTTTCTTATCGCCTGCACTTTGTGCAGTTGGTTTACTTCCATGAAACCTTGTTGCTTCTACCTATGTTGAATACGAAGAAAAGAGGTACGCCTAATTTAAAATATAAGCATGTGTTTTGTCGCAGTGTCTACACATTGTTGATAGCACAAGTTCATGAGCATTTGGCTATTACACGAAGAAACTTCTGTGTCGACGCTGCAACATCCTTGACGGCTTCACCGTCTTGCGTTATGATTAATGTGGTCCCATGGATCCCTCAATTACACATACATACCCTGTGTGGCCAATCGGACTTGGAGACGACAGTGATCACGACACTGTGCACTCTTCGTGGCAGTAGTTAGCTTATAAAAACCCCGTAGACATCGCTTTCTAAGGGTGCATGTTTGGACCACTATTCGACAGCGATGCCCTGATCCCCCTTGAATTCTTTGCTCATTGCATAGATGCTTTCCGCGCTTGGCTGATACACCATGCCTCGGTTCGCAGATTCGATTCACTTGCCTCATCCAAATCGATGGTATTCTGATACGGCCTGGCTCACACTTTGACGTATATCATGACCATTGCTTACTCGACGGCATCTCTTCCCCCCAATCTTCGTCATTCGTTGGCCATTTTTTCTCAACCGTCTCCGGGCTACAAACCAATGTGATGTTTCACCCCACCACTAGGTTCTTTATTTTTCTCCATCATCGTGATGTGATGTTACAAACACTTATCTTGCAACCTCTGCGACCCCGGTCCCAGTCTCTTTTCATATCCCTTTTTGGAGTCGCGGTGATAACTCACCCCACTTGCAACCATCCACAATCGTTTGGCACCAAAATATCCGTGCAAAGTGCTAGTGTGTTGTCATAACGTTTTCCATTTTTTTGACTCATAAATCCTCTCCGTTCTCATTTAATTAATTCCCTTTTGAAGATTCCATCTTTTGTGGCATAATGGTCAGATTAGATTCCACAAAAATCACCGAATGCACACATCCCTTTCGCCAACCGCATTCCATTTACCTTGCTCTTTTGTCAGCCGAAACGTGATTACGTCAATTACAGATCCAACGATACGTTTGGCGAACTCAGCTTCATGAAATTACCATTTTTACTGCAAACCAGTTCCAAGACGGTTCTGCTCTACTACGACAACCGAATGCGTATGTTAGATGAACAGCGAGGGGCGTTTCTACAATCTTTGTTCGTGGAGAATCCAGAGTTACCGTTTTTAAAGCTTCATATATCACGGGACCGTGTCATTGAAGATGCTCTCCTGGCGGTAAATGGAACCTGTTTCAGTTTTGTTAGCATATATTCACATGCCACTCTATTCTGTAATTTGAACGACTCTCTTACACGGTACAACTAGACATGCATGTTATAGCAACGTGTATCGCAGCACTTCTCATACTTGGATTATGTTCCCTCCCAAGTTTTGTTTTATTCGCTTTTTCTTTGTTGCTTGTCTATGAGCACGGTTTTAGCAACCTATTCTTTCGTCACAGACGTTTGTCGCAAGTTAGAATTCATCTGAGATATTTGCCAAACCTGTTCCACCCTGTTCTCACTACCGTGTGTGAGGATGGACTGTGGAGTTTAGTTTATTAAACCTTGGCTCTGTCGGCTCACACACTAGTTGCTTAGTTTAGCTTTAGACCATGCTTTTTCTGCCAAAGTGCAGTTGCTGGAGGGTACGTCGCTGGTCATCATCGATCAAGTATCTCGGGGGATGCCATAAGCAGTCGACCTGTCCTGGACTGTCGCTTTTTCACCGCACACCTGATGAGCTCCGAAACTTGGTCGTGTAGTTGTTTTCGTACTCTTAATTCGTCTGCATGCTTTTATTTAGCCTCTCATCGATGCTGGCACGCCATGAGCGCTGAGACTAAGTATCACATCTTAGAATCCATAATTCATCCTAGGACGCGGGTCAGCACTACTGAAACTTTTCACTGGCAAAATTCTTTTGTATCATTTTTTCACCACATGTTCTTGTTTGCCGATGAGATCTATCGCTCCCTGTTAACAGAAGCGTGACTTCTACTCGTTTTACTTATTCAACAAATTAAGCCGTTCCTCGTCACCGTGTGTCGATTACACACGATCGTTACGGACATGCTGCCTCACTAGACATCAGTTACAAATTCTGAGTGACAATGCCGAGAAAGCTTAAGTCACCCGATATTTTCATAGCATAGGAGCCAGGGCTGATTGCGCCATCTTGCAGTTATTAATCAACATCAATACCTTCCGCGTAATCCAAGCCAAACAGCCATCGAAATGAGACTGGACCTTACCGTTATGTAATTGTTTGCGGGCCACAACAACCCATTGACCTATGCTGGGTGGAAATTTTTGAATATTCAGAACCACTCATATCGGATTGGCCAAAGGTTAGAGGTCAGAAAAGCAGCCTCATGGTCCACCAGCTTAAGGATTGGAATGAGGGCGGCTCCTTATTCTTTGAAATGGACTCCTTGCAACCTGCTGCGTTGCGGTCAGATATTTGAACCAAAGGCTTTGGCGGAGAACTCTAATCGCTTTCCTGGCCTGGGCAACCTAGAAGTATCCTGTCCACGCAGTACAATGACTTTGATGAACTGCATCTGGGCTTCCGTAATGATAACGTTGAGCGATCATTTCATTCATATGAAGATGCTCGCTTATTTATTGTGTTATAACTTCCGACGCAGCACCCGCCGGAAGGTGACAGCGCCCACTGGTCATGGATGCAAATCGATCACATTGTGATCAGTCACCGCTGGAAAGCATGTGTCAAAACTGTGGCTCGATTTGGAGCACGTGTGTGGACACTGTCCATGCACTTGTATGTGCTGGCCTGCGGATGGGTTTTGGCGGATACCCTGGATGACTGTGTGATGGCATAGACCACAGCCAACCGGCGAAGCCTGATGTACTGAATGCGTGTCGAAGTACGCTGGTATTCGGGTCAAGTAAGTGATCACTAAACACAATTGAAGGTCACTGGTCGCATGTTCACCATACCTTACTGGCAGCAGGCAAATCTTCATGTGGCACATCTAATTGCCAACCTGGAAATTCGGTCTCTTCGCAATCTCTGGAACTTATCGATGCTAGCTGACACATTCAGGCTAACATCGAACACAGTGCGACTCGCAAAGATCTCAGGTCGAAACTCCATGCTAACCTGAAAAGCGACCGCGAATCCTGATGCTCTCATCGTGTATCGGAGATGGAAGTGGCTGCTGCGTTTTTTAACCTTCGGAAGTTATTCCGTCTGATACGTGAAACAGACTGTAGGAGACCTGGTGTTAGTGAAACCCTGGACGAGAGTGGACAATCTATCCTCAACCAGCCGAAGTGCTTGGGGCTGAACACTTTGAAAGGCAATTGGGTCGGCCAGAATTGTCAAATTTCTCGCCGTGATCCCTAGCTGTCTCTTTTGATCCGCCCTCTCGCTCAGAAGTCGAACATGCGATCGGATTGTTGAAGTTGCATAAGGTCGCGGGACCAGTTGACCTTCTTCCAGCTCTCTTCAAACTCGGGGGACCTGCTCTTGTTGCCGATGTACACGCGTTATTCGTGAAACTGTGTCCCAACCGACTTGAGCCGCTCCGCTATAGTTCCAATTTTCAAGGGAGGCTCACGTTCTTAATGGGGCACTTATAAAGAAATCAGTCTGATCTCCATCGCTTCCAAACTGTTTGCTTCTGTCATCTTTCACATACTAACTGACACCCGTGAAAGCCAGATTCGTGAGCAGCAAGCTGGTTTCGTCGACGTCGAGGCTGCGTTGGTCATATCTTCACTTTACGTCAATTGTTGAGGCACCGCTACATATATTGGCGGCCCACCGTTGTCGTGTTCCTCGACATCAAACGTGCTTTCGATTCGGTAAATCGATGTGTTCTTTGGGACTATTTGCTAAAGAATGATGTGCCTGAGAAATATGTAAACATTATTCGAGTGATTTACGCGCGTAGCTCGGACTGGGTGAGGGCTTAGGGCAAGCTGTCGTCGCGCTTCCATCTCTCCAGCGGTGTAAGACGAAAATGCCAGCTGTCAACTTTCCTCTTTTTCTTCGTCGTTGATGAAATTATGGAGATCGCACTCACTGGTCCTGACCTAGGAGGTGTGGAGTTGCTCTCATCTTCGATTCTTTGTGACAGCTGGGCGAGAAAGCTGATTGCCACCGCGCGCGTGTTCGCCACAAATCCTGCTTGGGACAGACCTTGTGAGCGTGTTGCCAGGGCCCAGCCGAAAGCTCATGGAGTCACACATCAGACAGCATGCGTGTTGCCAAGATCTGACCGGAGGCTGTTGAAATCGCGCGTCAGACATCACTACGTTGCCATGCCCCGGTAAGCGGATGAAGACTGGCATACCCAAGCAAGCCGGTGAATTGGCCAGACAGATCGGACAACCAGGTGTGGAGTGTGGGCGTACAGTCAAGTCGGCCAGGCGATGTTTAGAGGATTGGTGAGATCGACACCTGAATATGAGCGTTCTCGGTTTTAATACAACTCTGATCGCCTGTCGTCTTCTGTCTTCCTTCCTTTTAGGTTTGCCAAAGCGTCAAGCAGAGCAGGCGTAAGGGCGCAGATTTACCAGCAGGCGTGAATCAACCGGTCGATTGCAGGTTCAGCGTTATAACACCTTGGTGCCATGAATGTCGTCAATGCCATTGTTGAACAACGGTTTGGTCTCCGTTTGACTGTCACCAATTAAGTTAGGTACCAACAGTGTTCCGTAGAAGCTAAACACATTGCAGCAAATCCTTCCAAATGAATGGAGGTTCAGGTGGTTTTTGTCTGGAGTCACCAGAACCATAGAGATAGGACTTCTAAATCCAAAGGAGGGAGCACGAAGCAGTTGTTCTGCTCTGTGTGAAAAACAAAAATGAACCCCAACAAACAACATATACTGGAACCTGACGGACGACGAGACGTTGCTCACAAGACACGATGTCAGCATCGTGGAGACAGACAGGAAGCAAACTGTCGACAAGAACACAGGAGCATCAAAGGGCATGCGAGAAGCATTACATCTAGTTCCGTCTTATGGGTGAAGATGGACATTGATCGGAATCGAACAGAAGTTATGATATACGGGGAACCACGGAAAGAAAATTATATAGTGCATCGCGAGGAATTCAATGAATATGCGCATTGATATCGGTGCAATGTACGAAACGATCATACAGAATTAACAGCTCGAGTAAACCTTTCAGATTGGTCATGAGGCCAGTGCACCAATGGGGTTTCTACCTATCATCCCACTTCGCAGTAATAAATATACGACATAGCGCAGTTGCTCAAGTCCGTCGAAAAGCTCATATGAACAACCAGTCAACATGACTTATGATTACCTATATCTGAATTGTATATTCATGAGAGGCACTACCTATCGCTGCTCATTGATGGTACCACTTCGTCTGGTGATGAGCGTTTGCAGCCCTATTGCCAAGCTCGGCGAGCACATGTTCACTTGAACTTGACCAAATTATAACCACTTTGGAACTGTTCTCGACATGAATGAGTTACGTTCGTTCGTTAGAACAATCGACGCGCTGCACACAGGTGACGAGATATCATTGCATAGGGGAAATGGGATTGCACACATACAGGGTGTCGCACGAAATCTCATACTATTTGTTTGGTTCATTACATATGTAATATTATATATGTAATGTTTGAAACCCGTATTCCAATACTCAGGTTTATGGAAAATCCGGTAGATGTCACGAAAATTTTGTATGGAATATTTTCTTGGCGCCAAACATGATTTTCAAGATGGCGCAAAAGAGCAGATTGTGTGTTGAACAGAAGGTGAAAGTTGTAATGTATTTTACAGAATTGAGGGGTTTTGAAGCGGCACAAGAACGTTTTCATGCGCACTTTCGTACCAAATGGGCTTCCTGTAAACAAACTGTTCAGCGATTGTATCGTCACTTTGAAACAACTTGCTTTGTGGTGGAGAAGAATTGACGGCGCAGACCAAGTGTCCGCACCCATGAAAACATGTAGGCAGTTCGTGTTGCTTTGACACGAAGTCCTAGCAAATCAACAAGGAGGACGGCTGCTGAGTAAGGAATATCTCGTCGGTCCATACAGGGGATTTTGCATTCTGATCTTCAAATGTTCCCTTACAAGATAACACTTGTCCTCTAATTAACAACAGAGGACAAGCAACAAAGACGTCAGTTCGCTTCATAGTTAGTGCAGGAGGATCACGTTCTGTACGACACGTGGTTTACTGGTGAGGCGTATTTTCATTTAAGTGATGTAGTGAATAAGCAAACTGTCCGTTTCTGAGCAAGTGAACATCCTCACATTTTGCACGAAAGGGGACATTATAGAGAAGAGGTCACTGTATGGGCAGCAATTTCATCCTATGGAATTATCGGACCCTTTTTCTTCGATGAGATGATAAGCGAAGATCGATATAACGAGATGTTGGAAAACAGATTTATTCAAGTACTTTTGGCAACAGGTCTCCCACTACAAACTCAATGCTTCATGCAAAACGAAGCCCGCTCACCCACTGCAAATGTTGTTCTCTATTACCTGTGTGACATGGTTGATGGGCGGGGAATGTAACATCGGTTTCCTGAGCCACATCAAGTTGGGAGACAGTGGCCCCCGCATAGCCCTGACATCAATTCACGTGATTTCTTCTTGTTGGGTTACTTGAAAGATAATGTCTTCACAAGGAAGTCTGCAAGTGCAGCTCAACTCAGAGGTTCCATCATACAGATGTGCCGTCTAATTTCGGAAGACCTGAGGAAGTTCGTGACAAATGTAAAGATTGCTTGAAAGAGGCTGTGAGACAGAATTGGTAATCACATTGAGCACATACTACATTGAACTAAATATACATGCTCATACAATTAATTTTTCACTACTTTGTAATATTTTGATGATAAATATATGTTTAATAAGTACAACAAATGGTATGACATTTCGTGCGCTACTCTGTAAGATTATTCATTGATGGGGCATCAAAATTCCAACCTTCCAATAAGTCCGTGTCTTGCAGGAATTCATGCGTCTTTCCTCTAACTGCGTACGAGCGATGGACCAGTCAAGAAGCTCCAATGTAGAGTTACGATATCTAACCCACCTACGTACACATTTTTTCTTAAGCCATCATCATCAACGGCAGCACATCAGCTAACTGGACAGTTGCTTTACTGCCGTTCAACCACGGTGACCTTAGGAACGAAGCATAGTAAGAGAGAGAGAAGGGGGACCTAGCGTAAAACCTTAATGCCCTAAACAAACTTTCAGCGTCAAGGCGCCTACACCTTATGTCAACAACGCACCGTCACAAACAGCTGGCTATCGTTCAAACGTAAGGCGGCATTATCGAGACAACTTTCTTGCGTCTTTCACTTCCCCGCTTCATAATCAATCATCACCCCACAGGTAACTCAGAATTAAACACTTTGAACAGGCAGTGGGACTACGAGACGACAGTAGACGCACCACTAGTGCCGACTGCGAACCATATCTTGTAACGGCTCGAGTCAATCACAAGGCGAGACAGACCGACGGCACCCAGTTTTGTAGTTGCTGAGTTCATTTTCCCATGCCAGATCAACTTTTGCCAACCTGGAGCATTACGCCACCATACATCTCGCAAACAAAACAGCCATCTTCGGTAAGCGCTTGCCGGGCATACGTGGTACGTGCCCAAGCCAACGCAACTTATTTAGTTCTATCTGTTGTTCTAGGGATGTTCAGAGGTGACTGGACGGCCCCAACGTCCTTAAACAGTAAGACAATATCCTCCGCATAATCAAGATCTACCAGCTTTTCACCAGGCAGCAATTCAGCGCCTGTATCGGGAGATCCTCCAAGTGATTGAGTCCACGGCGAACAAACACTGGTAAATTAAGCAGCTTAGACGAAGATTCATTGTTGTTGGGAACATGTCCGATAACTCACCGTAGACCCTGACGTGACCTGTCTTGTTGGAGTACAGAGCACGTAAAGTTTTCGCATATTTCATTGGAACATTTTTCCTCGCAAATATTTCGAACAGAATGCATCGATCGACTGAGTCGAATGCACTTTTGAAGTCGATGAATACAGCTGTTGTCCGGCTTCAATACGCGTATCAGAGTGAATGTGTGGTCCATACAGCTATCTAATGGACGGAAACCTGCCTACTGTTCCGTTCCGCAGTAAGACAACGAACGAGAATTGGGTTAGTGTTTTACGAATGACCTCACCGCGCAAATCATGTTGTGAGGCTGTTTTGGATCACTACTTCTTTCGGAGAATTGCTGGTATACGATAGTAACATCACATTAGTAATGAGATGCTCGCCGAAGGGTTTTCACATCAGCAGCATAATTTCACTGCGCAGGCCTCAGTGGTTTAGGCATGTACCTCACATGCCTACTCATCGTTTACCTTGCCTTGCCCTCTTCGCGCGCGCAGAACTCGGCTGAAAGCAAGGTGGTCAACGTATGACTTGAGCCAGAAGCTAATCTTAAAGTTAGACATAGTCGGACGCTTTGAACTCCGTTGCTGGGGCGCAAGGATCACGAACACGTATGGCCGAAAACCCTCTTGAATATGGCGGAACTGTTGGCTAAATTTCATTCCACTTTATTTGGTTTATTCTGTTTACCTGAATAATATATTAACTGGCCGCGTTGCTTACGCTAATTACGCTTATCTTCAATAACTTTATCACGTTTATAGCAGTTATTGAATAAGTTGTGGACATATTTTACTTATTGCAGATTTGTTGCTAACCAACTTACTTCATATGCTAATTTAGCGAAGAGTTATACCACCGTATCTGTATGCATTATTGCATTTGTTTTATTTCATTTTGTCGTTTCAAGTGATTGACTGTTGCTTGACATCCCCGGTTTGGCTATGCTTGATGTGCATGTTGACAAGATGCCTACCTGTCTATTACCCACTACCTCATCCGTACTGGCTCCAGGAGACAGTTGGTCGTTGCTGGAGGGGACAGGGTGCACGGTCCTTGTGGCCGTGCTAGGCTCGAAGAGCGGTTCCATGCACTCATTGTGGAGCGGACTACGGTCCAGCCACCGCCTTGTGTGCGCTTGATTCCCCAAATGCAGCGTGCTTGTGTTTGCCTGTGTAGGCGTGTGGGCCGGCTCCGTTGATGAAACGTGGCTTCCATCCACATGCATCCCGGTCTTATTCCTTCGGGTTTACACTGGATATGAGGTGTGTGGATGGATGGTCCCTCTGTAGGCGCAGGCGTCCTGTGGCTGACCACAGTGACAGGCAAATCCGAAACCGGATGCCGCCAACTATATAGATATATATATATATATATATATATATATATATATATATATATATATATATATATATATATATATATATATATAATCACCGCCATCCGTAAATTGTGCGAGTGCGAGGGAGTCCGGGCCAGCAGCCCGAGAAGGATTAAGGGCTGTGATCGATTTTTGACCACAGCCTCCGATGTAGCGTCTAAATTAACCTTCCATGGCTTAGCCTACATCCCCTGAGTGGGAACGGGTCCAGAAGCAGGGGGCCAATTGAACTGTTCTCAAAAGTGTCCTGCCCAACGTGGCATACGGCGCTCTTTATTTTGAATCAAGGCGCCCGCGCTGTCCTTGATTGTCTCACTGACGCCTAGTTTTCTGGGACCATTGTTGCGGATCAGTTGGATGAACTTGCGATAATTGTATACTGTTCCCGCTTCCTATATTTTTTGAGACCTTAACCAGACTGACTAAAATGTCTATCCGCAAGGCATGAGATGTGTCAATGATTTGATTTAACAGAAATGGACGCCATCCCATTTTTAACCCTCAGGCCTTAAAACCAGGAATCTGAATTTGTCTGACTTCTAACCATTGACCAACCTGGTAGGATTAGCTCTCAAGCGGCCCGAGGACTTCACCCATTATAAGTGAATGGGCCAAAGAGGTGCGCGAATCATCGCACTACCTTAAAGTTAAGTCTCTTTGCGATGGATAAGCCATCAGTGGGTCTTCGAGCTCTTTGAGAGATGAGTAAAATCTGTATAGAAAGAAATGGTCAATGTCGTATCTCATGTATCAAACCTATCGATGTCCTTATGTTTTCATGAGCGATCGGTGCTAATCGTGGGTATTTGTAGACCGATATACCGCCAAGAATCCTCTGCCTATGCTTGAACCTTCTCAACTTTTCTCTCCAAAGCCTAAATGCAGTGATGGGACTGTTAGGTCAGTTCATAAGATCGGCCACTTCAGTTCCGATCACTAACTTAAGAGACCAGGAAGATCGGTTCATCTGGGTCCTTTGCACTTCATCACCAAGGAGTAGCTTAGCTACTCTAATGGTTACGCAAACTGCTGCACCACGCCATGGTTCAGTGTCATCATGTTCGTGACCCGTAACACCGGACTTCGGTTTGTACCAGCTCCCGTACAGCTCCGGATCCACTTTTTTCCTGGCCACCTAGTGAAGCTGCATACGTTCGGATAACCAAGTATTGCTCACACTAAACGGGACTATCAATGTGTGCTTTTGAGCCAATTTTAGACGGATATTCGCATCCTTTGGTGTTTTCGATACCGTCCTTTAATCGGATGGTTCTCATACTTTGTTTCATATCGGTCCGGCTTCTTTGCGTTATCGACTGATCTCGTTACCTTCTACAGCGTTCTACCAGCCTTACATTTGCGCGCAAGGAATGTGCTTTCGTCTGAACGCCTCACTAGTCAGTCACATTTACAAGTTTACTGTTCAACACGGTACTCGACCTATATCTCAGTCGTGATATTTTGTATCTGGCTATCAACCTTTGATCAAAGTTTGCTAATGAGATGTCACTGTTTTGTTCTTGTTCACTGCAGCATCCATGCGTCAATTATTCACCTTGGTTCATATTTTGCCTCGTCTATATATTCGCGGTTATTTGAACTCGTTTGCCTGCGTTTACACTGTACACATTCGGCATGAATGTCTGCTTTTTTCTACCTTTCTTCTCCTCCACTCGCTCACTTTTTGTCCTTTATCAGAAACTTAAAAAAAACCGTATTTCGTTTCCTCCTTGGCCATTCCTAGCATTAATCATGCCCCTTTAAGCCACAGAAACTCGTACCATTGAAATTATCCTTTGGTTTGATTACTCTTAATACGCCGTTTTCGTAACCATGGCAACCTATTCATCTATCCTCGGGCAGTCGGTCATCACCCGATGGCCCCTCACTTTTGTCAAATCGCATCTAATTTTCTTTGACCTCAAACCATTGTCTTTTGATCCTCTGACTATCTATTCGCAGCTTGAAATCACGTGCCTCGAAAAACCCAGCGACTTAAGAAAGCAATTGATGATTGAGTTCGAGGACGAGCAAGGGGTCGACGAGGGTGGCCTAAGCAAGGAATTCTTTCAATTGATTATCGAGAAAGTTTTCGATCCAGTCTACGGTGTGTTCTTTTGTAGTGCTGTTCTTTCATGCACTTTCGTTTTTGATACCTAGGACAACTGCGGTTCCCCGTTGTTTATCATACTTGATTATGTTTGCTTACATCTCATCGTAAAAGCAACAAGACCTGTCTTCTGTTTTTATAATCCGTTTCTAGTCTAAACTTAGCCTTTCTAGGTCCCTCGTAGCAGGCCATTCGAGCCGGCCAACCATACTGTCCTGTGAGAAACCACCTGCGCTAGTGCTTTGCGTTTATTCCCCACCAAGCTGAACACCGGTATGTTCATCAGTCGTCGATTGGGACACGCATGAGATGGCAACACTTAGCCTTTATCTGTTTCAGTTACCTCCCCGGGCATCGAAGTAGGCAAAGTTCACTTCGAACTGATGCTCGGTTCTGATTGAGATTGCGTGCCGCAATCGATTCACACAACAAGCACTTCAGAAATGTGTGTCCTTTGAGTGCTCGAGCCGTGCCTGTGCACCACCCACGTTAGCATTTATCTTATATTCAACCTTTTCACAATTACTGAAGGAAACATCGCACCGATTGAGTGCCACCACTGCTCTCGAGCACCGATTTGTTTCTACTTGTGGGCGCCAATGTAGCAAGATCATTTATGCTTCTCTGTGTTCGATTTTAACTATACATAACAATAGCTGGTTGCCTCACTTCTCACACCGGTTAGGCTCATTTACTTTTTTACTTATCGAGCGATTGTGTGTGAGAGTACTGCTCACAGACTGGCTTTTGTGCACTGCATTGTGACCAATGCTGAAGACCGTGGGCGTGTTTGCTCACCGACGATTACGCGATATCTTGCTAATACGTAGTGGGTTTGCCGAATAGAATGGTGTATTTGACAATGGACTCTGGTCCGTCAGTTGAGTATCATTTGCATTCAAATCGCACACACGGACTGCATAGAGTGCAGTTTTACATGCTTACTGATCAACTATATTACTGTGCCCTGTTTGACAACACTGCGGGATATCATGGAGGAGGAACGGTCCCGAAGATTTAGTGGAGTGAACACATATCTTTACCTTGAATGGGTCCCTCCCGACTAGCCACATCGGTGCTTAGAGTGACCCTATCCGACAGGACTCAGTTACGAATTCCCATCTTGTTTGGACTAACTTCCACGTTGCGCTGCACTAGGCAGTGCCCTCAGGCGCATCGAGGACTATGATCAATTCAACTTTTAGCATTCGGTCTGATAGTTTCTCTTTGCTGGTTTACCAGTGAGTGGGTTAAAGCTGTTGCACCATTCACTTATGCAAAGGCGCCCATCTTGTGGACCGCGGCTCTATTCCCTAGGCCTTGAAAACAGAAACAAGTTCGGGACTCTAGTGGTTCTACTTGGTCTGCGCAACCTGGCCGGATCTCAGCTCACATACACATGTGTTTTATTAAAGTTTTACTCATGCTGCATTGCGCATCGGGCGCTTTCTATTGGACCGTCTTATTTGTTGCGTATTTCTGTTTACATACTCGAACACAGGATACTGTCACCGTGTCCTTCATTAACAACATGTTTACGTCTGCAGATCCGCGGTACCTACTTTTCTCCCATAGTCGCTGCTCTGACTGACGGCCGCGGTATCACCACCGAGGTTATACCAACCACACTTCAGTATCCAACGATCCTCAGCCATCAAAGCTCCTCAGGTTACACTATTTGTCCACTCTGAAGCTGCTAGTATCAGGTCTCGCTGACGCGCGTCTCTGCATCCGTATTACTATAGTCTGTGGCTCACGCTCCGTCATCGAACTAACTACACCTCTCACCTTCAGAGTTGCTGGTGCAACAACCACATGTCAAGTTGAATCAGGTGTCGTCCTCAATCCTACATCTGGATCCCCGCTAGTTGAATGAATTTTGGTGGACAACCACGCATGTTCACACCGTTTGACGACGGCAACCAAAGTTAATGCATTGAGCGACGCTTGATGCTATTTGATCGTGATTTTTCCGTACGTCCAACTGAGTTCTGTCTATCACGATACTGCGTGATGCGGCTAACTCAGATATAGTTATAGTTTCTGGAGTCTACGCGTGTACAAGTGGGTCGTCTAAGTTCTTTAGTTATGTGAATATTCTTAAGAAATCCTGGTTGCGAGTCCTTGTTTTTGCAATGTCGCATTCGTCTTTTGTTTCTAAGAGGCAGTCTCTTCTTGAACACGGCGCAGATATTCCATCTAATGTCGTGCTAATAACCATCGCAGAGCCCACGTGCAATCACTCTACTCTCGATCTTCGCTGGTTTTTTGAAACACGTACTTCGCTGGGACCATACCTTGATCCCGTACAGATTGTCACGAAGCGAAGTAAACGACTCCCTCGTTTAGAAACCAGGAACTTTTCTCACTCCATGATTAGATCGCCCCGTCTGAATACACTGCACAGTAAACATTCACATGCTCACCCCTCTGGCATCATGCGTCGGTGAGGTAAAATTCCCACTGTACAGGTCACCGGGACTTCTGCTTGCGGCACTGTTAGTCGTCACTGCGTGGAACACTAGGCGTTACACATGTGAGTGAACATGTTGAAGCGCAGCAGAATTCCTTTTGGCACTGCGTACAACGCCGCAACTAAAGGGGCTATCAGTCGCGAGACAGGGCGGGGCCAGCGATCTGGTTGCGAAGTATATTGTGTTCAGCAGATGGATGAGGTAGATGTAACTACCGCAGGCTGTTCCAAATGGTCTGCACCATTGATCTCAGGATATTATCCACCGGAAAGGTAACCAATACTCATTTTCTGTCACCAATATAATAAACATATTTCTTTTCAGCTTAGAATTTTTCGCAGCCTGCTCTTATCAATGTGCCCACAATGAGACTTTATCGTCCGTCCTACTTTTCATTTCTGTACCTTTTCTACTGCACAGGTATGTTCACTTGCGATGATGAACTGGGAACCTACTGGTTTAATCCGGTACCACTGGAGGATTTGGACCGGGAATATTGTCTTATCGGCATTCTGCTTGGTCTGGCTATTTACAATGACATCATCCTCGATGTTCACTTTCCATCTGTTTTGTATCGGAAGTTAGCGGGCAAACTGGGCACTTTTGAGGATTTGAAGGATGCTCGACCGGTACGTTGTTTCATTCTACCCAGTGATGGTGTTACACTGCAATTACTGTGTATAAAACTGAACGTAAAAAGCTAGCATTGCGGAAACGACGCTTGGTCTGGATTATTTTCGCCCATTTAGGGATCACTATAGTGATCACTAATGAATCGGGCAGATACTCATCTGTCCTCACGACGCAGTTGATCTGTATCTGCGTTCCCGTGTGGTCCACTAAGTGGTGATACAACGACTTATGCAGCTGTGTTCCTTTTTTCCTTTGAATGGCTTAGTTGGTCTGCATTTTAATCGCTCGTGAAAGCGAGCATACGAGTTTGTCTTTCCTTTACCTTCTGGTCGCTGGCGATATTCTCTGAATTGAGATTTCCGGATTTGTTACTGCTTTTCTGATCCCACTTCAGAAGATCGTATGTTCACTAACGAATACTCAGGTCCGCGGGACCTTATATTCTTCACCCGACAGGACTATTTTGACAACCGAACACATTACCGTCCATCTAAACTCAAATGAGGATCATTTCAAATGATTTGTTGTGTGAATAGATCACCATATGCAATATCAATCAGGACCGTGATTCAGTTTTTAGTGAACCTCGGTTAATTTGGTCACTAAGACCGTATCTAAAGCAGATAAAGCTTAGACATTGCCCGCTTCCAACACTGCACTCTATGACCCATTTCGTAGTTGTCTGCACTCATTAAGTAGAGATAGTGGAAGTGCGACTTGGACCCTGGACATTTGGAGGGTTAGCCGAAGCCTCTATCCTTGAACCACCCAGTCCCGACGGGTAATGCCTGTTACAACGGTTAGCGACTAAATGACGACCTCAGGTTCGAGTCACAGTCCTGGTATTGCTGCTTGGTGGGTTCTGAAAAATACGCCGGCCCGTAGCCTAGTAGTAACGAGCTTGTAATCTTGCGGCGCGGGTTTGGGCTCGCGTAGGAGCAGAGCGACCTTCGCAGTATCCTTAGCCCGCGTGCGACCGATAGTGGTTGCGCAGCAGAGAAGTGTCGGTACTGCGTACAGGCCTACTGTTGATGCCTTGCCTCTGACGAATACGAAACCGGTATTAGAGCATGAGCCGATAGCACCTAACAATCATGCGCATCACAAACTTGTTTTACTAGTCATAATCCTTGGGTTCTCTAGTCGCGAATTTGAACGGATCTCCATCACACTTCATCCTTTGATGTAGAAGTGTGGTTTGTCAAGATGTCCTTCGCTTAAAAATTTTTTCTGACAAACTACATTCTGTAGGGTATTTTCGGGCTTGTTTTGCACTTCGGAACTGCTTTTGACCACAGGAATACAATGAATTTGCTTTCTCTTACGTTGCATCACATGTTGGCACGTCTGGTTGTCAAGGCTACTCATGTCCTTAGTCACCTCTCGCTTTTGTAATGACAGCTGGATATTTTTGGCCTAAAACCTGCCCCTGCTCAATGTGCATACTTCTCTTGCACCCATGATAGGTGTTTTGCTACCGTTGTATCTGATGGAATTCGATTTTTTGAACACCGCCATTGCTATACCGTTGATCAATCCACGCAAAAGCAATCAATTATTATGAAGATTTTGTGGTTTTATGGTGAATTAAATTTGTACCTCTCCAATGCTGTAAACAGGGCACACTGAGATAATTGCTACTTTCGCTTCCATGATCGCATTTAAAGAAGTATTTGAAATCGCGTGGTCAGTTATTGAACTGCTGAATTTACTTAGTAATTATGCATTGTTGTCAATAGCCTTCCCTCACCCTTTGTGCTATTTTCGGTTACGTGACATCTCATGTGCACCTTCTAGTCATTGCATATCATTCGCCTCTTTATATTTACATGCTAATAAATCTGTTATCTGATGCGGCTTCTCTGATGACGTTTCTCAGACAGGTCGTTTGTTTTAATTTTTACTCGCAATGACTTGTTAGGCATCCCTATTGCGCATGGCTTGTTAGATTGGAAGTATTCTCACTAAATTTTGCTTCGTCCGATGGAGGGAAAGATTGTTTTCTTTTCTGCTTCTCTTGACCGGGACAACTTTAGTTGTCAAAATATGTATTGGTACTTTAACACTCTACATACCTGTTGATGTTGTGACATTCATCAGAATGATTGCTAACTTGAATGCAGTGGGGGCAAAAACCTGATCACTATTTCGTTCCCTTCTGATGAACCTGAGCAGAAGTATTACCAAGTATGTGGGCTCTGTTGTGTTTAGTGATCTGAAAACAGTAACTTTATTTCATGTCTGGCCTGAACACTTTCATCTCCTACGGTCCACTTTAATCCACCGAGCCATCTGTTGGTGTAGCACTCAAGGTAGCTCGTGTGATGTGTCCTGTTAAGATACCACACCAGCGACCTATCGTTCCGAATGGCTGTGACTGGTTTCCGTGTAAATATGCCACCCGTCCAGCTCGATGTTTGTCCACCAGTCGCGTATTGATTTGTCACACGGGATCCTACATCTCTCGCCCTGATCTGTTCCACCTCATATGCAGCTGCTATCCTTGTTGATTGCTCTAGTACGGAAGCTTGGTGCTACGTCAATGTTAGACCGCAGTATGTCAACTGAGCTTCGGTTTGCTGACAGAACATTGTACTTAATGTGGCGACGTAAGGTGCTTTGTTCTACGATTCAAACAAACGTCGGCCATCGTTTTACTGTTGCATAAGCGGTTGAAAACCTATGAATCATAGTACATTCCGGAGTATTCTTACTTATTAGCGGTATGGGTTGGGTACCTTTGGGATGCTTTCTTAACTAAATTTTCTTAACCATTAATTTTCCTCGGGAATAAAAGAGAGCTGTTAAGTTTCACGCCATTTTTTAACAAATTTGACAGCCAATCAGACCACAATCGTCGTTTCAGCTAAGCGCCGGCACTTTACCTCCCAGACATACCTACTGTCAAGGTGCGTTTATGCCCTGTTACCATGTGTTCAAGCTCAGCACTGCAGCGGAATTACTCTTGCAAACGGTGTAGGCTGCGGCGATAGACTCGGTATCTCAGGTCAATGGATACTTTTCACGAAACCCCTTAATACACTCTCGTGCAGTTGCACAACTGTTTAACTGACCGAAAACAGGTGTAAACCTAAGCGTTGCCCACCCTGTACATCGACTGACCGTACGACTGTCTAGTTTAGTTATTTAACATCTTCAACTAAGAACATGCTAAGGGTAAATGATGCCGATTCCCTCCATACTGTTGGTTAACGTGTTTCCCCCAAGAATTCTTGAAATCGTGCAGCCCATTAAAACGACAAATGACCCACTTGTTACGGCTATGGCGACCCTGCCAGCTGCTCGACTTCCCTGTTGTATCTTCCTTCTCGGATGAGTTATTTTGATGGGAATTTCGTCTGGAAAATTCCGAAGCTGACGCCCTTGCATCAGCACCTATTACATTCGCAGTGTCCTTTAAATTTGTGCTTTTGTTTTGGGATATGTATCTCACAACTACGATCCATTCACGACTTATTTTGTCTCATGATTGAACGTTCGCTCATTAATGTACCGCGAGTTTGGTTATCTACAGAGATCAAGCTATTCCAATGGATAATTTTTTGTTCTCATGTGCCTCGAACCAGCTTCTGTACTCGGTTGGTGCTTTTAGTATCATCTATCCTTCACTCTAGGGCATGATGTAGTCGTTGCCCTCCTTACGTTTTACAGGTTTGCTGCATGGAAGCTAAGTTTACTAACCGTAATATCTTTTGCGGTGTGCATATTGGTCGGAACGAGCCTTCTAACAATGGGCATCTGCTTCCGAAGTGTATGAACCTCACTGCTTTAGCCCGACTTATGTCACTATGATAATGCCAATAACGAATGCTCCAACGGAATAAATAAATAAATTGTATAATCTCATTGTTGGCGAGACACACCTGTGAAGGAATGTTCCGGTAAATAAAGCATTTCTACTTTAACGACCACGAATGATCGAAAAAAGTACCACCGTAATGAAAATCGTTTTTCAATTTTGATAGGGTATCAAACTTTCCTGTTGTTTCATTGTGATACGTGATGTTGTACAGGATGTCGATGCCGGGTTTGGTAGGTCTCTTGAGAATATTAATACGGAAATGTATAAAGTAGGTGTCAATTTTATTTTATTACATTTGGTGGCTGCTTGTTCATGGGTATTTAGTAGTGTGGAATTCTGTTAGTGGCACTCACATTAAACCGGAGCAAGCGGAGCACCTATAATAGATAAGGTAAGATTAAACTGCAATAAAAGTAGTAGGAACACCGACATTGAAGACGGGGAATGCGAGGGTGTGTTTGAGTGACTTACTCCCTCATAACACATTTGTTGGTGACAACTTTGTCGTTGGCATTGATAAGAATGTGGAGAAAAGATGAAGACGAGGGGGTCCTTACTGTTGCAATATTTACTGTCTGTTATAGAATGGTTTCTAAATGACATAAACCCTGGACTTGTTCGTATGCTTGGCTGTTCGATTTGTGACATCCCAATAGATGGATCACATTTTACTGGTTCTTTTTTTGCAATTCCTGCTCTGAATTGCTAGCACAGATCTCGTTGGCAATTTGTTCCAGATTCGTGCATATCTGCTGGTCTTCAACCTGCATTCCACTACCAAATGTTCCTCTTTTCGTGTTTTGTTTGATGGTGATTGTGTTATTGCCATGTTAAGTTTGGAAACATGTATTTTTTGTGCAGTATGTTATAGAATATGATTAGGTCGTGCTTCATTCGCCTCAACCAGATGGGATCAAGCTTGAGTTTTTCACATCGCTCGGAATATTCTAATTTCTTTTATGTTTCTAATTGGCGATTTGTGAATGTCCGTTGTATATTTTCTAATACAATGCGGTCTCCTTTGTTTGCACTGCCGTACACCATCTAGCTCTATTCCAAAAGGGGACGTGAAGCTGATGTATAAACGCAGGGTATGGATTCTTTCTACTTCGAAAGTTCTACATAACATTCCAATGCTTTGTCTGGTCTTTACAGTGGCGTAGGCTACTAGTTCGTAGAAGTTGAGCAAGTTTGGCATATCTTAACTTGCTTGTCACAAATGTTTAAACTTCTAGGTGTTATGTCACATTTGTAAGACAGCGTAACACGTATCTGTCGTAAATAACATCCCCCACTTTGAGCACCAGGTTCCGAGCGCATTGAGGTCGAGCTGGATCATATTGGTAGTTTCGTTTATGGCAGCGGGGTGAAAAGTGTAGATAATCGTGGTATCGTCGGCAAAAACATATGGTGATCCGAATTTCACAGCGTCAAATATATCGTTAGCATAAATCAAAAAGAGTGTAGAACCAAGGACAATACTTCGTACTACATCACTTGTGACTGCTGTTGGTTCAGATTTGTGTTCCCGAATCTGTACCACTTGCGTTCGATTTATAAGATACGATTTGGATCACGATTCCATACATCAATTTAGATATTAGTTTCTATGTGGCACTCGATCGAAAGCTTTGTGCATATCGAGGTAGATAACGATTGCAGAATTGCCGTTATCCTGTGAGACAGTTAAATGATGTAGAGATTCAAGTTAGCACGTTATGCACGGACGTGCATTCAGAAAGTCATGTTGAGAGTCATAGATTAACTTAAGAGACAGACGTTGCAGTTTTTATATGTCCCTTTATCAATTTGGATAAGATAGATGTATGACTTATTGAACGATAATTCTTTGTTTCGAACCGGGAGCCTGATTTGTGTCGCGTCATGATAATGGTTTTTTCCACGGTGTTGGTACAATGCCAGACTTCATGGATATGATGAACATATTCAATAGAAGCAGGGTATATCGACACCCCCGAGTTTGATAAGTGCAGGAGGTACATTATCCGCTCCACCGAAGTAGGATAGTTTCGTGTAGTTCATATATATATATATATATATATATATATATATATATATATATTCACAATCTGATTACAGATAATGTATCATCAGAACCAGGGCGAAACAAAGGGGAGAAACGAAGTAAAACATGAGCAAAACAACTTTTTTCGATTTACACACGCTGCTTTGGGATTTTTTGTGTTTTTGTGTTTTACGTTTCATAAGACGTTAACTAATAGATAACAAGGTTGAACAGCACTGTCCCCAGTGATGCCGGTTGCGCGCCATAGCCTCCAACGTTTCTAACCACTGGCAGTCCGAATCGCGTGGTCCCCATCGTGGAAGCCGGACCCGTCCGACGGATACTAACCTTGAGGTTGCATTCCTCATGCTCCTTCTCCACGTCATTTGTTGTCCACCGCGACACTTTTTCCAGTCACTTCTGGGGAGCGCAAATAGCGCTCGGCGCGAAGGCGATAGGCCGGCACGCGCAATACGTGGCCGAACCAACGCACGTGGTGTCGGAGAATAGCATTCTGAAGACTGGCACTACCAGCTTTAAGCATTCGGTCTCGGACCTCTGCGTTGCTTACGTGGTGTTGGCACCACACCCGAGCCATCCTTCGTAGACAGCGGTTGTCGAAGACTGACAACCGCTTCATGTCTTCCGAGCGAATAGGCCAAGTCTCACAGCCGTACAAGAGTACTGCACGGACGGAAGCATTGTACACCCTGCCCTTGAGCTTGAAACTGACATCACGACGACTCCATAGGTGTCTCATTTTGGTGAATGCAAGGTGGGCTTTGCAATCTGTTGTGAGACTTCATCCCCAACACCGCCACCAGCCGTGATGCAATTCCCTAGATAAGTAAAGCAAGGGAACTTGCTCCAGAACATGTCCAGCAATGTTGAGCCCGGGTGCAGGCACTTGCCAATCCTGGAGCAGCGTTTTACATTTTTCCGGAGTGAACTATAAGCCGTACTTAGACGCCTCCATCTCTAAGCGGTCCAAAGCGCTCTGGACGGTTTGTGGGTCGTCCCCCAGCAAGGCGATATCATCGGCGTAGTCCAAATCCGTGACTCGGTTTTCAGGGAAGAGCTCAACACCACAGTTTTGGACAACTTCCCGTGCTTCTTAGACGACATCTTCGATGGCAAAATTGAAGAGCAAAGGTGAAACAGGGCAACCTTGGCGAACACCACTGGTCACAGCAAATGAAGAAGTGAGCGTGCCGTAAGCCCTGACTGCCCGACGCGTGCTTGTAAGGTTCTTTCAGGTTGCTTACTAACTTGTTGAGTACACCTTTCTTCAGTAAACAGTTCCACAACGCAAATCTATCTACCGAATCAAATGCCGCTCGGATGTTCAAGAACACTACGATTGTTGGCCGCCGGTGGATGTGACGCAGTTGGAGGAGTTGGCGGAGCGTGAAGATTTGGTCGATGCAGCCGCGGCCTGGACGAAATCCGGCTTGTTCTTCTCGGGAAAACTCCTCCCTAGTCGTTGAAAGCCTGCGAAATAGGACAGACACGATCGGTGGAGGTGAGGTTGATAGCCGTAGAAGAATCAGGTAAAAGTGGGTATTAATGGTACAAGGTAAGGGTAGGTCAAATGGTGACGTGTGTTTGTGCAGTTGGCATAGTAGCGTGAGTGAATCGCATCGTAGCAGCAAGCGAGCTTGTTAATGGCTGCTTGTAAGTCCGTGGTTCGTCATATGCGAGTTAGTACCCTCTTGCCTAGGCCGAGGTAGTTTGTGTAGTTTACAAGCTTTTGTATGTCACGGAGTTAAAACTTGACACGCGTGAGTTGATCAAGCATTGATGGTCTTATATCCAATCTTGGAGGGTCATTATCCACGTTAAAGGAGGCGCAGAATTACTGACTAAAGATTTCACTGGTGTGGGTCGGATCAGTTGTCATGTGGTTATCTGCCGTAACCAGTGAGATCGTGTCTTGACTCCCTTTGGTATTCCTACACTCTACAAAATGGTGACTAGATTGCTATTTTTAATGCTAGGCTGCAGGCATTTTTTGCATGAGCGTTCTCTTTCTTATGACACGACAGTTGTAGAACTGGTAATCTTTTGGGTTGGGCCAAGAAGGAGATGTCATTTGTCTTACGACATACGATAACAACTTGTTGAGCTTTATGGTAGTTTTACATGACATGCTTTTTATTACTGTGATGAAAGTGTCGATGCACAATGGGGACGAGTGCATAAATACATATAAAAATGTTGTTGTGGAGAACATCTGCAAAGGTTTGTGAGTTTTCGGTAAGGAAATATCTATCTCATTGAGCAGATCTTATTAATTTGGCAAACAGACCCTAATTGATGGCTTTCTAATTCCTGGAATGTGTTTGAAATTTGGAAACGGACGATGTTTGGTATTGTGTGGGATCAATGAATGAAAATGGTAATACTCTGTGATCACTACCAGGAAAGTGCTCAAGAACATCGGTGGATACTGCTAATATGCCAGTGGTGAACGTTAGGTCTATGATCCTTTCTACTTGGAGATCTGACATGTTGGATCCATCCGTATGAGTAGTGTAGAGAAGAGACCAGATTCGTGTATTTGGTATGTACATAGCTTGAGGTCCACGCTGGATCCGGCATGTTGAAATCTCCACCGATTACCTTATACTTGGCTGGTTGGTCAGCTATATGACAGAACATATCTTGAAGTGCGTTAACTTCTGCGACACTGGAATTGGGACGCATGTATATACATCCGAGGAGAAACATGTGACCATCAACGTGTGCATTTACAAACACGGAGTCTTCGAAGTAATTATGTGAGGGAACGCTGGCCGTTGATGCACACATGGCATTGTGAACGTATATGGCGCAACCACCTCCTTGCTTGGACTTACGACAACCAATAAAACTCTTATAGTCCCTTATGTGGTAGTTAAACTCAGGAGTATCTTCCATTAGCCACGTTTCTGTCACAAGTATGATTTGTGCATCAGCTAGTGAGATAAGTGAGCGTAGGAAATGGATTTTGTTTTTAATACAGCGTGCATTAAGCACAGAATGCGCATGGGAAAGGATAGATGGGTCAAGTTCATTATTGGTTAAACAGTACACGGCTGTCCACTGAAGACGACGTTGTATATTGGTTTTGTTTGACGGGAATCCGTCGATATCTGGTTTGGGATTAACGAAGGTATTTGAGCATGTGTCTGTGGGCGTGGAGGGTGGATATGGGGGTGAAGATGACACTATCGTTTCCACGGCTGATAAGTTCGGGCTCAGGGACAATTTCTCCCTTGTGTACTCTGGAATTGATTAGAGTAAAGGATATATCGAGGCATTGGGTGCAACTTGTGACGGGCCTGGTATTGGACCATCCTTGCCATCTGGACAAATCGAATGAAGAGTGGAACCATGGAGTTGGTTTCTGTCAAATGTACCAGTGCTGGGAATGGCTGTGAGGCCATTCCCGCTTCCCCTAAAAAATAGCTGTCTGAAGTTGTTGATTCGTGACATTCGTGAAATGAAACTCCTTGTCTAGTGTGAGTCTATTAGCTATATCAAGTGCCTCATCGGCTTTCTGACTGTCCCATTGTTGGAAAGAGTCTCTAATCTTCGATAGATGTATACTTCGACAGATGTATGCTTGGGTATACCCAAGCATTTTTCATATGTTGTCAACTAACCGTTATGAGGTGTGACTGGCTTACTACGATGGCTGCGCATGGGCTGCACGAACTGTCAAGGATTGAAACATAGTGTTCGGGCACTCGCCTTGCGATATGTTACCAAACAACCGTCTTACAACATGTATTCTCATGGAAATTCACCACGTTTTCTTCTACTCGTTTTAATTATTGCTATCAATTTTCGTTATTTCACGTGTCTTGCTTGCTCATGCACTGCAGGACTTGATGCCTGGGTTAACGGCCCTTTTGGAATACGATGATGACGATTTCGAGGAGGCCTTTGATTGTAATTTTGTTGTTTCGTATTCCGATCCGTTTGGAAACACGCAACATCATGAACTTATCCCCAACGGTTCATCCATTCCCGTGACCAAAGCCAATCGCCAGGTATGTTTGTCATCGGTTCGATACTACTCCTCGCTATCATCCTTTCGCTCAACGTCCCTTTATGCTCGATGTGATGGGTTGTGTTTCACCTACCTCTTACTATTCCGCATGCTCTCATTCACCCATATCTTGTTTCTAGAGAATTACCTTTCGATATGCTCTTGCATTTCCCGCTTTTAGTCGGGAAATTAGATGTTCTCAGTTGTCCCAACTTTAAGATTTGTACCAGCCCATGTACAAGCCTTTCGCTTTTCCTTAATAATTACTCCTTTCATGGCCCTTCAGATTAACATTCCTTCACATTATCCGCCTGAGGAAATCGTTGTATTAGTCCAATCTCAGGGTATAGTCGGTCTTTGGAGTATGCACACCTTTTCTCCGGTCTATTTTTCGTATTGCGTTAGACTCCTTTGTTTTTGTATTCCACACTTACGAATTTATTGTTTACATGTAATTCTTGCTACTCCCCCTCTCTCTTATACCTCACAGGAATTCGCTGAACGTTATGCGGATTTTCTGCTAAACGAATCGGTGAAAAAACAGTTCCGTGCCTTTCGTAGGGGATTTCAAATGGTTGTGAGTGAAAGTCCTCTAAATTTCCTATTTCGGCCAGATGAAATTGAGCTGCTTATTCGAGGAAGCCGTGTGAGTCTACTTCTAGTGACAGTAGCCCAAACTGTCGCTGCTTTACTGACCTTCTATCTTTTTGGTATCGCCGCGGAATTGTCACATGTCTATAAATATGTTATTTTTCGGTTAGTCACACTTCTTATGATTTTAAAATTCCTTGACATTCCTGGATGTCATTTTTTACTTTCTGTCGCAATTCAGCAATTGCGAATCTAACATTCAGTGGCTGGCTCGTAGCCGAAGTATCGCGAAGCAAAACACCTCAGGCAAACGGAAGGCAAAACTGTATTCTAACCAGCATGTTGTACAGCGCATCGATCCACTATTCTCAATTAAACCGATCAATGAGTGGGTGAGCGGGTTACTTACACACGCCAGCAGATTCAGGCAACGAATAGGAAGGGGTCAGTATGTTGACGGTGAGGATGCCACATTCCTTCTCCCTTTTGCTTGGACCACTCCAGCTAGCTTGGTATCGATAGACGGGTCGGTGTAGCCAAGTTGAACGGCGACATTGCTGAGCCTCCGGCTGGCTTGAGTTTTGAGAATTCTGCGCTCTGTCAACTCGGTATACTGCTTTGATGACGCGTCATCTGGCCTAATTGAAATGGAACAATGGCAGACATGATCCCTGTGCCCAGTAACTACTCCGCCATCAGGTAAAGCCACCTCAGTATTTGTACCGCAACTTTCCAGGCTGCCAGGTTTTTTCGTTGGGCAACTTGGCATTGACCGGTTCATTCTAGCAGAATCTTCGATCGGAAGCCTTCTGGTCGTACTCTGTCTTAGATTTATCTTGCTTAACCTCGACACGTAGCCTCTGGTCAGGAAACAGAGAATCCAGTCGTATCCCAATCTCTGTCCGAACTTCCACTCGCCTGGGCTCTTCCCAGTAGTTTTGTCTGACGTCGTGAGGTAGCCAAAAAGAAGTTTGTCGAATTTTGTTCGCCTTGGAGCGGAGGCTTGTTTCCGTAACCCGTTGGACGGTTGTTTCTGCCAACCCGTTTGAAGCTGGGTGGTAGGGGGCTGATTTCACATGATCTATGCTGTTGCTTTTGTGAAACTCTTGAAATGCTTGACTATTAAATTCGGAACCGGTCTGTTACCAGCGTATGTGGTATACCGAATGTACGGAAACACGTCCGCATGCAAGAAACGGTCGTCTTAGAGGTGGCATGTGCAATTGGAAAATCTTCTACCCATTTTGAGTGAGCACCAAACAAGATTAGAAACATTTTGCTGTCCAACGAACCAATGAGGTCTGTGTGTATGCATTCTCAAGGTTTACTGGGCTATTTCCAAGGACTAAGTGGTACCGGAGTCCTGCTCCTCTGAGTGCTTTGACGCACGTCGCAGTGTCGGATCAATTCATCGATATCTCTGCAATACTAGGCCACCACATATAGGATCGCGCAAGTGTCTTCATTCTCGTGATTCCTGGGTGTGTCGCGAAGTTCTTGTAAGACATTCTTTCGTCGCGGTGGTGGTATGATCGCTCTAGATCCCCATAGCAGACACCCATCCTCGAGACTAAGCTCTGTGCATAGGATAAATTAAAGCATTAGTTACGTTTCAAGGCTGTCAAGCTATCCTTGAGAGACTAGAGGTTTGACATTGGCCAGTAATATATCCCGTTCGGTGTACTGACGGGTATCTGCATTTGACACTGGATTTTCGCCCAAATGTTGCAGCAGATGGACAAGCTCCACCGGCTTAAGTACACAATCTCTAGGTGATTCAACGGTAACCGGCTCAGCGCATGCGCGATTCTATTTTCTTTCCCAGGGACATAGAAAACCTTGTAATTGCAACCGGAGAGCAATAAAACCCAACGTTGCATATGTGGTGACGCCATCCGGTTTCTGCCTTTTTTCTCATCAATCAGGGTTAATAGAGGCTTGTGCTTAGTAAATATCTCAAATTTTATTCCCCACAGTTACTGATGGAATTTCTTGACCCCAAACGTAACCACTAAAGCTTCCCTGTCGAGCTGCGCATAGTTCATTTCCGCTAGTGCCAAACTTCTGGACGCAGAGACTATTGGTCGCTCGGTCGTGTCTTCTATTCGGTGTGATAGTCCGGCCTCGAGCCCTCTGGGTGACGCATCGCAACGAAGAATGGTCGGTTTCTTTGCATCAAAATGCACTAACAAGTTAGTGATAGCCAATCTGACAGCATCGTAAGCTTTTTGTTGTTCATTGGACCACAGCCACCTGCTTTTCTTACGAAGCAGAGTATACAATAGTGCGTGAAGACGGGTAAGAAACGACTGTAATGGGTTACTATCCCAGGAAATGATTGCAGTTCGTTAATATTTTGGTGTTTTGGAGAATGCAGAATGAGTTGAATTTTTCCCGTAGGGGATGTAACGCGTTTGTTCAAACGAAACTCCAGATACTCAACGGTATCATCAAAAAGGCACCTTTAGATTCCTTGAGTTTCAGTCCGCTCTCCTGAAGACTTTTCAAGACTGTTGCAAGTGCTGTTGTATGCTCATAGTCGGTACGACCAGTAACCAAAACATTCGTCCTACCTTACATCCATGGGATTTCTTAAAAGACAGCGAGGCTTTTAATAGCTCACGGGACCAACATTGCACATGAAGCAACCTAAACTATTCGGAGTAAACTTTTCAGGGCAAAAGACCAGCTGAGTAGAGAAGAAATATCAGGTGTGATTTACAACATTGCAGAAATCGTGACAAGTACTACGTGGGCCAGACAGGAAAGAAACTTGGCACAAGACTGCATGAACCCAGTCCTGCCATCCGCCGTCATGATGAAAGATCACTAATTTCAGTGCATGTGGATGCCGAAGGCCATCGGTTCGATCTGGGGAACGCCAAGATATTTGGAAGAACAAAGAACCGCAGACCGCTGGTTCATCAAGGCATGGCATTCAGGCCAGAACTCAATCAACAAGCATTTAGAACTCGAAGGGGTCTACGAAGCTCTGCAGGTGAGGTCAAAATAAGTACCAGATCGACAGGGTGTAGACGTGACCACTTGGCCGACCCATGTGAGTCAAGCGAAGACACATTCAAAACAGGAGACAATCAATAATCACTTGGATCTGGCAGTGGCCTACGGGACTCTGCAAATCATAACTTTATAACCGCATCGAGGATGTTGCCTAGTTTGACAACGAAACGTCTGCAACAAAACTGCCTACTTCGGAGGACACAACAATCCTCTTATCCAATGTATGTATTAACGGTGGTAATTTCCTTTGAGGATTCCTGTAGTTCCATTTACGCATAAGCATGGCTTAGATCAAGTTTCGTGAACTTTTGTCCACCCAACAAAGTTGAGTAAATGTCATCTATCCGCGGAATCGGATTACGTTTCGTCGTCGTTGCTTGTTTAACCGTCTGTTTATAGTCGCCGCAAATGCGAACCGAGCCATCAGACGTCTGTACAAAAACAATGGTTACAGCCCAGGCATGCTGGTGAAATTATTCCGTCTTTTTCTAATCGCTTTAACTCTATCTTCGGATAGATTGCGAAAGGTAGACTTCGTGCATTGTAGAAGTTCGGTTGGGTCTGTGGCTTGATATTCAAGCAGACTTTGTACTCACGTAATTTCCCAGGCATGTTTGTATCGAAAACACTGGTAAAAGCTTTCAAGACTGTGGGTAAGTCATAAATACTGTTCACCTTCTTGCCAGATCTTAATATTTCCGGCATGTACTTTAACTAGTTCCTCCCAAGTAGATTAGCTCCATCTGTGTCAAGAAAAATCAGAGGAATAGTCAACGTATTGTCCCCATGATTTGCTTCCATGTCACACACGCCCAAAACGTCAGTTATTTCGTCATTGTTTGATCGTAATGTAGATTGAGTCGGAGTCAGAACCAGGTCGGGCAAAGTTCGATATCGATCTCAAGACGTACTGGTCTGTCTTCAATGTGTAAATCAACAGTGTGCGGGTGTATTCCCATTGCGTGCGATGTGGTCGTGTACGAGATTACTAAGCATATGGGATCGTCAGCGTTCTCCACATTTCGAACAGTACCCTGGGCAGGGCGAGGTATCGGTCAGTGAAGCACAGTCGAACGGCATGCGCGTGCAATATATCCGACCTTCCCGCACTTGTGACCAGTAGACTGTATCTGCAATCAGTAACCATTTCATGCTTCTCGGCGCATCAGTAGCACGTAAAGAAACATTTGTTGGTGGGTGACAGTTGAGATATAATCGCCTGGGCGGCATCTGAAGGAAAAACGCTTCGATAATGAATTAATTGTTGCACAACACTTTTCCTTTGTTTGACCAGTGTGCAGGCTGTTTCCCAAGTGCGTTTCTTCTTGTCTTCTGACGGCAGACGTTCTCTAGCTTTATCGTCTCGAATGCCAACCAACAGGCATTGCACCGCCATCATCTCTTCGAATTCCGTTGCGGGAATTTCATTGTAACGGCAGTCAGAATGGGACTGTAGTACATGATTGATGAATTCATTAACCCTTACCTCTTCTCCTTGCCGTAATTGAGATAAACTTAGGCGCGCCGTAAAAACATGTTGCCGTGGTCCGCAAAGGCCATCCACGGCGTTAAAGCAGTCCGTCAGGGATGTGCTTTCGTACAAACGCAACGCATCGAAATGCCGTTGACCTTCTGCACCAACGTGTTGTCTCAGTAGTTTGATAGATTGGGTTCCACTAACTTTCATTTGGGGGTGTGTAATTGTGCAAAGCTCAAGAAAGTCACAGTAGGTTCATTTCAAACAATTCCAAACTACTAAGGATGGCTTGGACGACATGTCCTTCCAAAAATAATCAGACGGTGTAAAATGGCTCATAGTAGACAGTTCTAAGTTTAACCTCCGTCGCCAAATGTCACAGTTTAGCAATTGCGGTACTAACGCTCAGTGGCTGGTTTGCATCCAGAGTATCGCAAAGCAAAACTCGTCAGGCAAAGTGAGAGCAAAACTATATTCTAACCAGCATGTTGTACAACGCATCGATCCACTAATCTAAATTAAGCCAATCGCTGAGGGCGTGAGCGGGTTACTGACAC